AAAAAAAAAAAAAAAAAAAAAAATTGTAATCTTTCATATATGGGAAGATCTTATGTAATCATTCTTGTAAGGGGGCTTAGAATTTCCCTGTAGCGGTAATGGATTTGCAGTATTAAGCTACTGGACGAACTCTCCCTTGGTGGTTTTTGGGAGGCTTCTGTGATGCTGCCCATGAGAACTGGGGTGTAATTAATCCGCGGCCTCTGCAGGGTGCTGAACGGCTGGTCCAGCGTTGATGAGGGTGACCAGAACCCCACCGCCTGCAGAATTAGACTGATACTGTGCCCCGTCTCTGTGTCTGGCCCCTGGCACGTGGCAGGGTTCGGGGTGCAGACTGCATTGCTAGTTGGGGTGCCTGGTGTTTCGGGGAGCAGAACTCGGGAGGTGCGGGCAGCCTCGGCCTTGAGCGGCCTATCAGTTTCCCCGGAGGGGCTTCCCCGGGTTTGCCTGGGGCTGGGAGAGGTGGGAATTGCTGCAGAGCGCGCCCCTGGAGGAAGTCCTTGGCCTGTCCCAGCCCTGCCCGGCCCCTCCCGTAGGAGGAGGTGGACCCCATCGTCAGTCTGCCTGAGGTATTGGCTGAGAGTGTCAGAAGTGAACACGGGCCAAATGGACATTGCGGCTGCAGACGGCGAGGGGCAGGAGCCCTGCTTCTGTTTGCGAACTCCTGCGTCAGAGAGGCTGTGTCTCTGCCTCTCAGGTTGTAGTCTCTGAAGTGGGGACACTTTAATTTGCCACATTGGGGCTTAGTGCGGAGGCGGATGCAGGCAGCAGGGGGAGATGTGGGAGAGACGGACGGACGGACGGAAGTGTGGCCGCTGTCCGAGCCTCAGCATCCGTGTCCTTCTCCCGGCCCGCCCTGTGCCTCCGTCCCTGGTGCTCCTGGGGCAGGCTCTCCGCGCGCACTGCGGGGTGCATGGCAGGAGTGGGTGGGGTTCTGTGTGAGACTAGAGGACTGCACTTTGGGAGCTGAGGCGCTTACCTCATTGCTTCGTAAGACAGCACGGACTCTATCGGGTGTTTTGGCCTAGTCCTGTACCGTGTGGTCCTGCCCACTTTCCCCAGGACCTTTGTTTCCACAGACACAGGCTCATCAAGTCACTAAATTGCCCAGACTAGGCTTGAATTGAGGATATTTTTGACTCGACTTCCCGAGGGCTGGGATCGTAGGTCTGTGCCGCCGCCCCGGCCTGGCAGGGTGGTGGCTCTGTCAGTGTGGTCTGCAAGCAGAAGTGCCCCAAAACAATGCTGCCTTTATTACTGCACTTTTAGGACATTGGTGACTCTTGTTTATGGAGATAATTCTTGTGCTTGAGAAGTGAATACTAACATTTACCCTTTTTTAGAAGTCATTTATGTACGTTAATTAGAGAATAAATACATATACCTACTCAAGATCCATTTTCATTAATCTTACTAGGAAAAACAATACTATCAATAATGCTTTAATGTTATATGCAAATGTCTAGAAGTAGAAACAATTATTAGCATCCTTTGGTTTTCATTTTTTATCATTGGTACCGGGGCTTCGAACTCAGGACCTTAAACTTTCAAGGCAGGCGGCCACACCACTGAGCCAAATCCCTGGCCCTCCTTTGGTTTTTACAAGAGAGAGCGTAACTAGAGTCTTTGATATTTTCCTATGTATGTTTTTAAGACCTATTAAAGATTTTTTAAGATTTAATCTTTTTCCAATATTTTTCCATGGGTGAGTTCCCTTGCTAACTGCTTTTGTGCCTTTCCTCAAGTGTTATTATTTTATTATTTTAATTTGGCTTAACGAATTCTCTGGCTTTAAAAACAAAAAGAGCTAACTGGTCGGCATTGTGCTTGTTACAGGAAAGGTGAGCGAGTCAACTCAGAAGCCACCACTATGGAAAGACAAATGGGAACTTTAAGGATGGTTTAAAGAATTCAGAATTCTTAGGCGCCATTCTTGCTTTAAGATTGATTTGAAACTAAATATGACTATATCTGGATGTGTACAAAGAGGTTTAATTAGCTAAAATGAATTTATTAGAAATATATTTAACAAATTGGTAAATTGTGCTTTTCCGTCTAGACAGACTCTTTCTCAATTTCCAGTATTCAGCCAGTAGATGCTGAGTGGCCTACCTAATTCTGGTGGAAACTTAGTGGAAAACAAAAATGCTTATGTCGGCTGTTCTCAGAGCAGCTGGGACGGAGGGGCTTAATCCCTACCCGCCACTTACCGTCAGCTGACACCACAGTGGCAGGCTCGGCTCGGCGAATACTGGAAACGGATACAGAATTCACTTGATTATATAATCTAGCTGTTCAGTTTTAATTTAAATTATTTCCTGAAACTTATTTTATGGGCAGGTGTGGTGGTGCACACCTGTAATCCCAGCACTCAGGAGTCTGAGGCAGGAGGCTCACTGTGAGTTTGAGGCCAGCCTGGGTTACACAGTGAGACCCTGTCTCAAAAAATTAAAAATCAGGTCAGGGAGTTAGCTCAGTGCTTCTGCTGCCTACCTTGCAAGCACAAGGGCCCAAGTTTGATCCCAGTACCAAAACAAAAACCCAAAAAACAAAACAAAACATACTTTTACTTGAATCACAATCAATATTCATAGACCAGTGTGGACTTGTAATTGTTATTTAAAAAAAAAAAATATATATATAGTAATAAGTTGAACCTTTAGGCTTTTGTCCCATGTGTCACTCCAGGAAAGCATTAATAAGGCCTAAATTGCCTGGTGCAGTGGCTCATGCTTGTAATCCCAGCACTTAGGAGGCTGAGGCAGGAGGATCACCAGAAGTTCAAGGTCAGCCTGGGCTATGTAGTGAGACCTTGTCTCAAAAAAAACAAAAATGAGGGCTGGGGATTTAGCTCAGTGGTTCTGCCACCTGCCTTGCAAGTGCAAGGACCTGAGTTCGATCCCCAGTACCAAAAAAACCAAAAATAAATTAAATAAAGCCAAAGTCTTCAGAGTAAAATGAGTGGTAAATATAAAGATATTTTATTTTAATTGGTCTCTAATGATCTTCATATGGACCATTTTACTTAAAAATGGTCAGCCAAGTATAATATATGTGATTTGTTTTGAAACACTCTACCCACTCCCCAAAGACATGGAGAGGTGAGCTGGCACTGGAAATGGATGAAAACAAATTCTCTACTCATTAAAAGCATGTTAAAAGATGTTAACCCTCCTGGGTATGGTGGCACACATCTGTAATTCCAGCACCCAGAAGGCTGAGGCAGGAGGATCCCCATGAGGTCAAGGCCAGCCTGAACTACATAGCGAGACACGGTCTCAAAATTTTTAAAATTAATTATTAATTAAATGTTCACCTTAAAAAATTAAAAATCTTAACCCTTATTTCTGTGTTAGGCATTAAAACCTTACATGAAAAACTGAAAATCTGTTACTTTTACTCTTTTCACAGTTCTGATCAGTTCGTGCTATCAGGTTGTCTCCTGGGTGGCCTTTTGCTTCGATATCATTAAAATCATTTGGAAGTGACTTGGGCATGATTCAGAGTATATTTTAATCCCCATTGTAATATTGCATTTATACCGATTTATAGTCATTATTCCTCTTTTTTTTTGGTACCAGGGATCAAATTCAGGACCTTGCACTTACCAGGCAGGCGGTGGAACCACTGAGATACATCCAAGGGCCTGTGTTGTTATTCCTAGGATGTGTTTTAAAAATCTTCGTTGTGAAGTCTAGTTAGCTAGTTTATATTTGATTTTAAAAAGATAACTAAAATGTGCTGTTGTAACCTTTGTGTTAAAGTATACAGACCCTTTGGATGTTTTAAACAGTAGTTGTCTACTAGTGAAATTTTAAGACAGAAAACTTTGATCATTCTTTTGAAAGTTTAAGTTAATATGTTAACTGTAAACATGATAGCTGATCTCAGTGTTTCTGCTTTCTATTTGCTGCCACCCCATAGTTGAGCACAAATTCTATCAAAAGGTTCTTTCCAACTTACCATTTTGTATTTTAGGGTTATCTTGACACAGAGCAAGATTACGGTTTTGTAAGCGAGCTTTAAAACCAAAATATACAACATACTGTTTATTATATGTTGAAAGCCACTTTCTTTAGATGCAAAGTTGGAAAACTAGTTGACCCAGTGAAGGCACAAACTCGAAATTTTGCTAACTACTTCTTACGAATGTAGTTTATAACCAAAAACATCTAGGAGATGGAGAAAGCCAAGAATCCAGACTCTACCTGCTTCTATTCTTGATTGAGTTGGGTGGGTGCCAGGGAAGAGGGAAATGCTGTGGATTGCAGGAATTCTGAGCGTGACATATACTCGAGTGTTTGTACACTTTTTTTTTTTTTTTTTTTTTTGAGACAGGTTCTCACTGTGTAGTTGAGTCTGACGTGGAACTCACTATGTAGCCCAGGCTGGTCTCGAACTCACAGCAATCCTCCTGCCTCAGCCTCCTGAGTGCTGAGATTACAGGCGTGCTCCACCACACCCAGCTTTTATAAGCTTTTTAAAGGTCTCCTCCCACGAAGAAGTCGAAGTTCCTTATCAGTTTAGCATTTACAAATGTGAGAAACTTGAGACGTAGAAGCTGTGGTAGCACGTAGCCTGCCGTATATTCTCCCACTATGGGTGACGAAAAAACACAACCAGAAACTGCCTCACGTTGTTTTCTTTTTCTGTTAAGTTGCTATAGCCCAAGGTGGAGCAATCCAGATTTCCAACGCGGGATCCGACGGTGTCCAGGGGCTGCAGGCGCTGACCATGACGAACTCCGGAGCCCCTGCTTCCAGTGCCACCGTGGTGCAGTACACAGCGCAGGCCGCCGATGGCTCACCGCAGTTCTTCGTCCCGGGCAGCCAGGTGGTGGTTCCAGGTATATTTCCTTGTCTGATGCATTTACAGAACCCATAGGTGACTGCATTGCGCCCTTTTGTGGTGATTTCGTAGTTTTATAGAGTATACAGAAGGTAGCTTTTGCAGGAGGATGTTTGAGAAAGCTTGCAGAAAAGATATTTTAATTGTTGAACAAATTAAGTAGATTGTATGATGTTAGCTTGTTAGTTTCCTGGCTGTAACAAGAGGTTCGCTCAGAGTAGCCTGATACAGAAAGGAAGGTAGAAAATTAATGAATTTTTAAATGAAGCAGACAGCCTTCCTCTGGGGGTCGTTCGTGTTGTACCTAATACTTTCCATTACCTGTTCTCTGGGGATTTGAGTGTGCAGCCCACGAAGCCTGGCACGTTCCCTAGCTGTTACATTCACCGCTCAACTCCGGATGACTTACTTGGAAACGAACACCGGGCTGGGGATTGAACTCAGTGGCACAGTGCCTGCCTGGCAAGCGCAAGGTCCTGAGTTTGATCCCTGGTACAAAACAAAACAAAACAACAACAACAACACTGGGTTTTGTGATGTTGTTTTTTTTTTCCTGGACCGGTTCTGAGGAACCCATTCTAGCTCTTATGAAAGCTGACAGTAGTGAAATTAAGCGACTGTAATGTAATCTAAGCTTTTGAGGTTACCTAAGATTTCATTTAAATTTGAGTTATGTATCATTTTAATTCTGCCCAGTTGTGCTTACACCAACTATAACACAACTTTCAAAAATCACTTATTCCTGATCTTCTAGGTCCATTTGCTTTAGCATTCATAACAGTTATTTTAAAGAAAATAATGTAAATTCTTATAGTTTGAAAATATTGCAAATATGGAAGAAAGAGTGTAATTGATAAAGCCCTTGGTGATTAATAAGCTTTACTCTTCTGTATTTCGGGAGTTTATATGGACTGTAATAAAAGAATATGAAGAAATAAAGTGGTGCTATTTATGGAGTAAAATAATTCATACTGTACACCTAGTACTTTAATGTGAATGACAGCCGTCTATTACATTTTCCTCAGAGTCGTGAGCCCTATATGTCGTAAGTGAATAATCTTGAGGGATAGTCACAAATTTGATACTTTAGCAAATAGCATTTTTATAAATGTTTTGTTTTATATAATATTCATGTAAATTCTGTACTTTGAACTCATTTTCTCCCATAAGTCATAAAGTTTTTTAAAAATATTGCCTTCTCTGAACTTTATAGTTTTACATTCTTAATCCATCTAGAATCTATTTCTTGTAGTATCAGTTGGGAATCCTTTTTTTTTTTTGGTACTGGGGATTGAACTCAGGTCCTTGCACTTGCAAGGCAGGCCACCAAACTGCTGAGCTAAATCGCCGGCCCGGGAATCCAGTTTAAATTTTTTCTTTATATATGGAGCCCCTACCACTGGTTTTTCCTTTCTTAATTAATTTATGAAAAAAACTTAATTATATATTAGGTTCTCATAAGTTCTTAGATCTGTCTCGGAACTCTCTTCTCTGGGGTGTTTGTTTCTGGTGGTACTGGGGATGGGTGGATTCACCTAGCTCCTTACACAAGCAAGCACTCTACCACTGGGCATGATCCCCAACCCTTTTACAATTTCATTTTGAGACAGGGCCTCCCTAAGGTGCCCAGTCTGATCTGCAATCTTCCTGCCTCAGCCTCCCGAGTAGCTAGGATTGCAGGTGTATGTCTCTGACACTCCTGGTTTCCCAATCTTCTTTTTCTGTGCACCAGTATCATCCTGACTCACAGAACAAGTTCATCTCTTTGTCTTTTTTTCGAAATGCTGATCTAGCTATTTGTGAGCCATTCATGTGAGTTTAGAGTAAGTTTGAATTTTAAGTAATCACAATGATAAAATTAAAGCCAACATGAGATTGTATTTAATGTATAGATTTTAGAAAGAGCTGAATCCTTTATAATGTTACGACGAGCACTCAGAGTTAAAGCCCAGGTGTCTCATTTATTCAGATCTCATTTCCCTTGGACAGCTCATAATGTTTCTCCATAGAGGTCTTCCCCCATTTGTTCCTAAATGCTTTCTGGTATTTGTTGCTATTAATGCACCACACCTTATTTTTCTATGACATTACTGGTGCAGAGAAATAGTAACTTTTATCTGTTAACTTTGCTAAAATGTAATTACTTTTAATAACATGCTATTCTTACGTGAATTGATTTGTGATACAATGTGAGTGTTTATACCATATAAATGTTTTGTTTCTTTCCTTCTGATCTTTATTATTCTTGTTTTTCTTCTCCTTTTCTCCGTTTTCCTCCCTTGCTCCTTTTCCTCCCTTCTTTCTGGCCTGTTCTATTTCTCTCCCTCTCCCTCCCTTCCTCTTTCTTGCTCTCTCTCTCTCTGGTTAGGAGCTTCAGTTCGGTGTCACTGGAGGCCAGGCCAGTGGGCTCCTTATCTTTCTGACCTCAGACACAATATTCCCGTCCTAGCCTGTGGCTGCAGTGAAAGATCACCCACTTCCGTTCTGCAGTCCGGGTCCTCATCTTCATCCATCCGCCTGCCTTGCAGCCTGGGCTTCCTCGGTGTCGTCCTCACTGCTTTCTGCTCCCTTTCCTCCTGTCTCCCCCTGTCCCCTAGACTCAGGCCCGCCCTCCTGTGGCTCGGGGAACGTGGCTGTGCCCTCATCCCGCTGGCCACCAGGTGTCCCCCACACATCTTGGACTTCTCTTCCCAGCCCGAGTCTGCCTGGCTGTCAGTTTGGTGGCTGTGCCGCGTGCCTGCTGTCGTCTGAGCTGGACACCTGGGCGGCCCCTCTCTGTCCAGCCAGGTCGGAGCTCTCCCACCCCCCCATTCCACTTCCGGCTCCCTAACCCCGCTTCTGGTGGTTGAACCACTTCCTTCTGGTCCTGACAGGGCCCGAAGTCTGCGCTGTGTTCTGGGAATTGTTCTGAAACCCAGCGGGCCCCTTCCTCTGTCCCTCGCAGTGTCCGGGGGCTGCTGAGGCTCCGGCCATCCCAGCGCTGCTCCTCCCACATTACCCCGGTGCGGTTCTGGTTCCCAGTGGGGTTCCGAAGTCTACCCCTTATAGAGCCGGCTTTGGACTGGTGGTTTCCACGGCCCACACTGGTTTGTGGGACACGCAAGGGGCCACCTGGTCCAGACCCCATCCGCTCTCTGGGAGCAGGGAGAGAGCCTCTGGGGCCGGCTCCCAAGGAGGCTAAGCCCGTTCGTGGGGGCCTGGCCCCTCCTAAGCAGCCCCTGCACTGCTGCTCAAAGTCCAGGTCCTCCCTGTGGCCCGTCACGGTGGATCCTGGCTTCGCCCTCCTCTGCCTTGCAGCCCTGTCTTCCAGGCCTCCCACCCCAGCCTTCAGACCCCCATCCTGATGGTGCGCCTGGTTCACGTCTCAGGTTGACTTCTCCCAGGAAGGGTTCCCGGCTCGGGCCACCCTGGGGGCAGCACAGTGCTGGGCCTCTGTCCTGCCTGGACTCGGTCCTCAGAAACTAGCAGGGTCCCTGGCGTGAGAGAAACAGCCGGTAACACGCACTGAATGAAAATGAATGCACGCCTCTGTGAAAGTGTGGTTACGGGTTTCATATGTTAGCTAAGTTGAATTAGTCCGGGGAGTATATTAAAACTTTATTAGTTGCAATAAACAACTAAATAACCAACTCCCTTCTTTTTTTATTTTCTTTTTATTGAGTTTATTGTTACAATCTAGGTATACAGTACAGTTACATTCATTACTGGGGTCTTGCACCTTTACATGACAGGTCTTGGTTCTCATCCGACTCCCTTCTTATTTTTTTCCCCAGGACTGGGAATTCCTCTCCCTTTTTAAGACTAATACTGAATTTTATTTATTAAGCACCTATAAGCCAATTTTTTTTTTCTGTACCAAGACTCGAACTCAGGACCTTGAGCTTCTTGGGCAGGCATGGTGCCACTGAGCTACATCCCAGCCCTAGCCACTTTAAAGGAACATTAATATAAAGACAAAATGAAGCTTTCTGAAATTTGAAATAAAATGTACTAATATGTCTTGGTCCCAAAGCCTTAGGCATAGCTGACATAGAAAAGAGCTACTTGAAGGGCTGGGGATTTAGTTCAGTGGTTCCAACACCTGCCTTCCAAAAAGGTATAGGACCCAAGTTTGATCCCCGATACCAAAAAGAGCTGCTTGATTGAAGTTGATGCTTAGGTTAAACCCCAGGCTTTTTTTGGAGGGGTTGAGACAGGGTCTCACTATGTAGTTCAGGCTGGCCTTGAACTCACTATCTAGCTCAAACTTGCATGATTCTCCTGCCTCAGCCTCCCGATTGTTGGGCTTACAGGCATGCTCCACCAGGCCCGGCAACTCCAGACTTCCTTGCTCTGGGTATCTTCTGTGGAAACCACAGGCCGTTTACAGGAGCACTGGATACTCCCTGCATGTCACCCCTTGAGTGCCTTTACTTTAGGATGCATAGGGAAACAGCAGAAACACAGGGCCTGCCTTTCAGGCTGCATCCCAACTGCAGGAGGGAGCAGGCTTTGCACCCGTAGAGAGTGGCAGAGCTCTGAGGCCAGCACTACTGTTGTGATGCATACTTTTCTCCAGGCTATGTATGGTCTGTTACATGGTTGGACATTGGCCAACTTTGTCCCTAACCTTTCTACTGTTAAATTTCCAATAATGATCCATGAAGTTATCGAAATGAAACTTGACATTTAAACATTTTTATAAATAATACTTGTAATTTATTTGAATGTTTAAAATCATAAAACTTTTCAAGGGACCCTAGTGAGTAAAATAATGTGTTAGAATGAATCATAATTTCTATTTCTGTGGGCCATCTGAGGTCACATATCAGCAAGTTCACAGTTTGATAGTTATGAGAGAATGCCATGTGATTCTTGCTGTAACGGCACAGTGCTTTAAAATTGTTAGTATCCGCTCCCTTCCAGGGAAGAGCAAGTTCTCTGCCACTCTCGGAACAGCTGCATTTCACGGTGTTGCAGCAGAGGCTGGGCAAGCGAAGACACAGGTGGCCAAAGATG